GGATGACAGCAGAGAGCTATAGTTCGGATCGCCGGCCGGCCGCTGGTGCTGGGATGACATGAGAGAGCTACAGTTCGGATCGCCGGCCGGCCGCTGGTGCTGGGATGACATGAGAGGGCTGTAGCCCAGAGCGCTCTTGTTAAGTTGATGGCGCTGTTCTCATATGCAGGTCGCGACGAATGATCACGTTCGACAACCATGGACCGTCCAGCAATTATGAATGCACTTTCCTGGGAGGGACCAAAGTCCATCCAAGTTCGTGAAGTGGGGCAAAGGACAAATGTTGTGCTAACCGTACCAAATTCGAACAAAAATTTGCAAGCCTACGTGCTTCCCATCGCCTTGGAAGGCCACTGGCCTCATGGCCTGCCCAAACACGGACACCTGGGATCCGCCCAAGTGCACGGCAACGGGCCTCAGATATGCCGTGGACGGACGCTCCGATGCCTAGAGCGGGAAGCGCAGGATCACAGAACTGTCGTCTCCCCAGACCTAAATGACCAGCCGTTTGCGGTAAAAGGTACGTCACCACGGAAACTGTGACAGTTCGCGGGAGGTCCGCACGGCGAAGCTCCCCTGCTTGAAGGTGCGCTTACCACCCACATCACCTGCCGCTGCCAGCTGCCAGCGACGGCCGGGAGCTGCCAATCCACGTCAGGGAGAGGGAGGCGGCTCAGACCGCCCCAACTTTGGGAAGATAAAGGGGTGTATTCGGAGAGAAGCCCGTTTTTGTGTCTTTTGAGGGCAGGTTTAGCCATTTTATACTGCTTAGGGGCCTGTTTACTTTGCTTTCAAGGAGTATTCCGCATTTGCATGGCGTTTTAAAATGAAGTAGTCATCTTGAAGATCATTTAATGCAGTTCACAGTCCTGCTATTGAGACCTAAGCTCCACTAGGTCCTAGGTACACGTCCACTTAGGTGTGCAAACTTTTTTGGGAAACTATTTCAAGGTCACCCACGCATTCATGGCGCCATAATAACGTCATTCATACCCTGCCATTAAATTAATTATGCGGCCAACTAGGCCAAGACAAATTTAATTGTCGATTCGTTCATATCCGGCATTCGGGAGCACAATCCACAAATATAACGGCCGTCGATTAGTTCTGAATCAATGTTGTGCAAGGTACGACAATTCAAGCAAACACTGACGTGTTGAGGACCGTGTTTACTTAACAGTGGAATTGTGTTGTTTAGAACAATCTTTTCCGGTTAAAAGTACACCAATAGTTATGTGAGCTTATTTCGTCATATTTGATGTTGGCTTCAATATCTTCAAACGTGGAGCATTCCCTTTCGCTACCCTGCGTCACCACCAGGCATAGAGATGAAACTAGCCACTTGCCTTCGGAACCGTATCCGAAGCCAAGACGTTAACATGACACTTAAATCGGGGCCGAACCCGGCGGTTTCGAAGACGAAGCGAAAGTTAGCAGCTTGGTATCTTTAAAACGACATAGCTGATCCAAGCCCAGTGACTTCACACCTCGTGCAAACGAAGCAAAAGCCGATGTCAGCGGTTCTTGGGAACCGCTGGGCTAAAGCCGAATCCGTCCGTTTTAAATAACGGTGCTGAAGTTTGCGGATGAACGGGGCAAGGTGTGAGCATTACGAATGAAAGATTTCTCGAACTATCGCCTTTGTCTCATGTGTCAGTAGGAGCATAACGTTTCATACAGCTAGTTCTCTGGCTATCGTCAGGTGTCAACTGGTTCTGAGAAAAACTGGTTGGTTTTTGGCTTTGAGCTATGCACGCGTCGCGACCAGGAATATCTGTAAGGTATTTTGAGGTGGCGCGAGATGCAAGACCGTTTTTAAGCAAAGTTAAGTAAAGTTGCAACTGCCGTGAAAACAGAAGCCACCTAAGCAATGTCAAAGCTGATATTCAACATCGCATAAACCTCAAGAACTATGGCTAAAAATGTTTGATGTAGATTCGTAGCCAACCTTTCCAAATCGTACAAAGCCGCAGTCAAAATTAAAGCCGACCGCTCAACAGGGCACGAAGCCTAGCTGTAGAAAAGGACAAAAAGCTGACGCTGAACCCAAAGTCCTTGCAAAGCGCGGCTTCGCGAAATCAAAATAGAGGTGGAAGAAGAAATAGAAGTCCGAGTCCAAATCGAAGCTGAAGCCGGAGCCCAAGTCGGCTTCAGCACCTGCACGGAGCAGGCTGGCAGCGTCCCCCGCGGCAGGGGAAGGGAAGGGGAGGGACTCGCTCAGGGCCGGTGACGCTGCTGAACCGGCCGGCAGACAATGCCAGCTGCCAACACCTAATGGCTGGAAAATCGCCGTCGCTCGGCCGGCCAGCTGCTCCGTAATTGTTGAGAGCGGCGGCGGCGGCGGCGGCGGCGCGGCGGCGGCGGCGACGCTGTCCGCAACAGAGCCGCCCAGCCAGCATCGGCGCCCGCCGAGGCCGCGCGCGGCCGCGTCCAACAGCGGCGGCGGCTGACGGCCGGGGCACGAGCGCATCCGCTCCGGGTCCCTTCCCGCCGGAGCACCCGACGCTCAGTCGAGGGAATCGCATTCACGAGAACGATGCGATAACTTTCCTTTATTAGTTATATACAGTTTACACGTGGTAGAAAACCAACTATCACTGTTGAAAGGCGACTAGTACGCATTGCTAGATGCTCCAGGTGTACTGGTTAACACTTTTAACCCGCAGTTCGGTTGGATTTTCCCTGTTCGTGTTGACCTTGAGGGTCGGCATACCTCAGGCCCATTCCCTGGGCAGAACGGCGAACCGCACCGCAGTGCATCGCATGACAAAATGCAATACGATGCGAACATTAGCATTCACGACGTCCCTTCCTGCTGAACTGCACTGCTGAGGTTCCCATTTTTGCTTCCCTTGTATAGATCTGGCTTTGCGATTGAAGTTTTCGCTCGGTTGCAGGTCAAAAGCATGCAGCACAAACAATAGCTCCGTGGCCTAGCCTTTCGGATACAATCAACAGGCAATGAAGGTGTCGCACTCGGTGCATGGCAGCAAAACTTTCTCATGCTCCGAGCCGATCAGATAGACGCGTTCGTCACTGGGCATGCAGCAGCGGCACAGTAGGCCAGAAGTAAGGGGATTATGGATGCAGCCCGCCAGTCTGCACACTGCAGCCCTGCCGTACGTATTACCAGATCACTATCGGCCTTCAGCCTTATTCGGCTATTGGTCCAGCGTCTGCTGGCACTAATTGGACCTGGTTCTCCGGACCACACAGATCCGCGGAGTCAATACCCCGCACAAAAGCTCGACCTGACAGCCGACCCCACAAACGCGACGGCCGACCGGTGATCCGGCGGTACACAGAGCGCCGGGCATTCCCCATCGCTCTGCCCCGTCGCGCCGGTCACAACACGGCAGTTCTGCCGCTCGTCTGAAAGGGCCGCCGATGAGTGCCGCTCATCACGCCTGCGCGAGCGGCGCCTGATAGAGCGGGCGGCGGCTGAGCGGCGCCATCCGCCGACCCTGCGCTCCAGCGGGCCCAGCCGCGCCGCTCTGTCCTCATTAGCGCGATAGCCAGCCGATAGCGGGACAATGGTGTCGGGCAGGGCGCCGGCCGTCGGCCAGCGGTGATGCGGCGATAGGGTCCGGGGCCCGCCCCCCCCCCCCCCCCCCCCTCCCACCTCACACCACCTTCCAGCCCATCGGATCCCGATCTCGGCCGAAAGGTGGGAAAGCGGCCGATCCGGCCGGCTACCTGCCACCTCGACGCCAGGCGAAGGAGGAAAACGGACGGCGTACTCCGTCCGCGTACAGGAAAGTCAGCCTACGTGCGAAGCCTGGGCGTATGCTCGCCATGTTCAGCAGGGCGACCGTGCCGGGCGGCCTCCCAACGCTCTCTAGAATCGGACGCTCCACCTCTGATCTCCTGTACGAGCCGAGTCGATCGAGACCTTGTCAGCAGCGTCAAATTTTCCTTAAAAAGGGCGCTGGTGGTCCGCATTGGAGCCGACATCGACGCGTGGGCAGGGACCCAGAGCTGGCCATATTTGGCGAGCATCGACACAGGCAGTGGCGTGCCACGTGCCTGTTCGTGCCAACATTTCCCGGCACCACCAACGTGCCGGCACCGGCCCCCGGTCAGCGCTCCAGCACCGCCAGTTGGAGGCGCCGATGGCCGGCGTGGTCCTCACGTAAGTCTCCTTTCCTCTATCCTGTGTAACTCGATCACACCATGTGATACTTCACATGTGTGATCCTGATCATGACATGTGTTATCACACCATGCAGTCCTTCAGCCGCTGACCTGACCAGCCCTCCAGGCATGGCTCGGTGCCGAATAGGCTCGACGTAAGTGATAGCAAGACGGTACGCATTCAAAAGATAACAGCAGATTGTCGGCGTGTGTTTGGCACTATGTGTTTGTCACAAGGAAGGTCGCAGCGAAAATGTTGCGAGGGAGGCAGCAGAAAACATAGGTGTTCAGACTTAAGTGTAACGCATCAGTGAAATCATCTGATCATATATTACATATGTTTCACTTTAATATGCTCTAACGATCTCTACCATCTGTATGGGTTCCGACCGTTTTATAACATAAATGCCTAAGCCGGGTACATCTAATTAGTATTAACCTGAAAGCACGGTAATCACTGGTGTTGCTAACACACCAGTTCTGATTCAAAAGAGGCGAAATGCTATGTCCAAAAAATGCTTACAAATGTTATGAATAACTGCTGATTTTACATTGACACTGCAACGTAATACACCATTGCCGGAGTTAATCTTTGGGTGGCGTCAATTGTTTAACAGCAAAAACGTCTAGAATCGGTTGATGGTTCTACCAAACTACCAAAACGTTTCGCCATTTGGACTTCAAAAGAATCCATAGGGTAGTATATCCACTCTTTTAAAGTGCGTTCGAATCCCCATTCGCTCTGATCAGTTAGGCTCAAGCAAAAGCGCTCGGGCCGAGTTAGGTTACTGCCAACAGTAACAACCTCCGAACGCATCTCGGAAGTTCAGTGTTAGTCCAGCCAACGTGTCGCCGCCGGTGCTCACCATTCTCAGGTCATCGCTGCCGCTGCCATGTACGCTGCGCTCCTGCATCGCCGACGGCTCCGACCCGTTCTCGTGACCTCGTGACCGTCACACACGCCTGAGGGCTTCCGTCGGCCAGGCGGTCCCCTTGGTGATGCCTCGGCCTTCCCGCGGTCATCACCGCACCACACTCATGCCGCCGGCGGCCGGCCGCGGCCCATCGAATTTGGCTGCCAGCGAGGCCGAGCGCGCCGGAACCGCTCTCCAGCCCCAGCGGCGAACTCACGCCGACACAGCGGCACCACAGCTCCGGAACCGGCGACGCCTCGGGAGGAGCGGCACCACCTCGCGCAACACCGCCAGGACCCTCTCGGTCCGACTGGCGCACGGCCGCCGGCGTACCGCCGGCCGGGCGCGACTGTTGCGCATGCGCACTGCCGTCGGCTCGGCAGGTGGACCGGCGTATCGAGATTCATTGTGCCGTCGGGCTGGAATCGATTCTAGCAGTAGTTACTGGCTCCCTATCAGAACATGGGGCTCATTCCGCTGTCAAGGCCACGCCTGTTGTTAATTGCAGGCCTGAGACGATGCCACACACGTGTGAACACGGATCTGACCGCGACCCTGCAGCTGCAACGGCCAGCGACGCATGAAGCCGCTGATCACTGACCAATTACATGGTGCCAACCGCCCTCCACTTATAAAGTAGGACTTCCTGCGCTCTCGCATGGGAGGCTTCCCGTCACTTGCACCGGCTATCTCAACACACGTGGCCATGGCCCTGTGCAGTCCGGATGCGAAAACATGATGGCATATTTTCCACGGGGATGCGAGGGGAATGCAGAGCCCGCACCACAAACCACAGATGCTTGCCATATTTACGTTGAATATATCATGTTACTCGATTATGACAAGCAGTGCTAGACCTCCAGGACTATCTGACACAAGTAGAGGAGCCGACACCCACGCTGTAAAATCACGTGTCTGATCTGCACGTTGAAAGCTTGCCTCGCAAGAAACCACGTGAAAAACTTACATCACATGGACCACCTTATTTTTCTTTTAGCGTCTACCACTTTGTCAGGCAGGTCAGATCTGCTTTACTTGCCTACGCCTGGAAGTGAATGTCGCCTATGTCATGATGTTGGACAGCAAGCTGGATGTCCGCCATGCTGCGTATGGTGGACGTCACGTCGCCCAAAAATGGCGGACATTTGAAGGGATTGAGTTCACCGAAAAAGTCCTCATGCTGGTTTGCCCTACGCTGCAACATTCCTGCAGAGCTGCGTCCTTGACTTTGTCCAAATGGATTAATGGGACATCTGATCAGCCTTTTAGCCCATATCGCTAGGACCATCCAGCACTCATCAGTTGCAGCGTTTCAGATATTTGGGAAACTAAGTTCTGGGATCGTATTTTTCACTTCGCTGCAGGATGAAATAAAAAATAATCTAACCTTTTTGATCAGCCTAATCGCTTTGCAGTCTGAACACCACGCTGAACTGTCCGCATGCTTCAGACTTGTGCCGAAGGCTCTCGCGCTCACTCAGCCTGACGCGATGTCGGCCCCGCCGTCCTCCGGACATCTCACTCAGCCTGACGCAGCGGCACTCAGCCTGACGCGGCGTCGGCCCCGCTGTCCTCCGGACATCTTACTCAGCCTGATGCGGCGTCACTCAGCCTGACGCGGCGTCGGCCCCGCTGTCCGCCGGACATCTTACCGAACCTGATGCGGCGTCACTCGGTCTGAAACGGCGTCGGCCGCGCTGTCCTCCGGACATCTTACTCGGCCTGATGCGGCGTCACTCAGCCTGACGCGGCGTCGGCCCCGCTGTCCTCCGGACACCTCACCGCGCCGCCGATATCAAGCGTCCGAGATGCCCCTGTTTCCGTGTCCAGGACGTCCCTGTCTCTTGATTTGGGACGTCCCTGCCTACTGGTCCGGGACGACACTGCCTCCTGGTCCGGGACGTTCCTGTCTTCTTGTTCGGAACGTCTCTACCGCCTGATTTGAGACGTCCCTGCTTCCTGATTCGAGGCGTCTCTGTCTCCTGGTCCGAGGCGTCCCTGTCTCGGGTCCGGGACGTCCCTGTCCCGGGTCCGGAGCGCCCCTGCCTCCTGATCCGGGATGTCCTTGCCTCCTAGTCCGGGACGTCACTGTCCCGGGTCCGGGACGTCCCTGCCTCCTGATCCAGAGCGTCCCTGCCTCCTGGTTTGGCACGTCCCTGTCTTATGGTTCGGGACGTCCCAGCCTCCTGGTCCGGCACGCCCCTGCCTCGTGACCCGGGACGTCCCGGCCTCCGAGTCCGGGACGTCCCTGTCTTATGGTTCGGGACGTCCCAGCCTCCTGGTCCGGCACGCCCCTGCCTCCTGACCCGGGACGTCCCAGCCTCCGAGTCCGGGACGTCCCGCCGGGGTGTGTCGTCGCGTTTTCCGCGGCCCGCTGCAGTGAGCTGGGACGCCGCCGTGCTAACGAAGAGTGATGGCCGTTCGCGGCAGACGGGCCGCTGCTGCGGTCAGAAGCTGCGGCGGCCGCGACCGGACCGGTCCTCGGGCCCGCTGCTGCGCCCGCTCAACCCGCTGCGGCCAGTGATCAGCGCCGGCTTTCACTGTTTTGTAATGGGCCCGTCTACTTAGTCCTCACATACGCTGCTATTGTCGTAGAGTGGCGAGCGCATGTCTGCTTCCAGGAATTGCACAATAGGACGGACTTTAAGCGCCCGACTTGACTGAGTGCCGTGTGAGCATGAGTGCGGCCAGAAGCTAACGCAGTTTAATGTCCAAAAGGACATTCCAATGACAGCCCTGCATCTTGTCAAATACAGCTTCAACTCCAACCCAGTTATGCTTTCATCAGCACTATGAATGCGTTTCCGCCACGCAGAACTGTGCGTGGCGTTTCGAAAATAGTTTGGAAATTGAAAGGCTTCGTCATTTGCAACCAGATTAATCATTCATATAACTGCATCACTGCATTAGCTAAGCGGTGGCCACAATGCGTGGTCACCACTAAGTCAGGGATGCTTTTTTGAGCCAGGTGCATATCAGCCTCGGGCTTAAGGACTATACTTTAGACATTCGCCACCATCAGGGGGTCTAAACTCGGAAAACTGTTCCACGAACATCGCTGGCTGTCCAATAATTCATAGGAGACGGCCCTCAGCCCTTATCGATGTCACTGGAGCTGCCGACGAGGAATAAGGCATCACTCTATCCAATAGAAATGTTGTAGTGAGTGCCCATTGCATGCGGCATGGAATTCCATGCACAGGCTAACGAAATCCTTTCCATTCGTTCGTTTTTAGAAACTTTCATTCGAAATTGAGAGCATCTAAGCTCCCTGTTTCGATATTTTGGAGGTACCGGCATTCGTGTCCGCGTAACCTTATTGACACCAAACAAAAAGTTTCCGCTGTTTACAATGTTTATGTCACTCGTGGTAGCATTAAATGAGGACTAAAGAGCCGGACTGTTGAAATAAGGCATGAAATTCCAGTAGGTATGCAAAAAAGTAGGTGCAAAAAGATATTGATTTGTGTTCGCTGTACCTCAGATCTTTGACATTTGGCCACACCTTTGATCGCAATTACGTATGCACAAACATATTATCAAAGTGATGCAAAGAAACAGATGTAGCGGTCTTGTTGCTAAAATGCCAAAACATCGGTTATGTTCCTCGCTATTATTGCAGTTTTCAGTGCGCCATGCACAGCCACGTTTCAGGGGTAGTCATATGTAAAGGTGGTGCTGGTGTTTGATACATCCATGTGTATCCAGAACTAAAGCAGCGGGAAAAAGAAGCAAGCCATTTAATTAGACATGCACGTTTCCAATGATTTCATGGCTGGGCAGTGACATGTGAAAGACTGAGTGCGACACTCTTATTTTAACAAGGCACTTGTCGGCCTACTGGGTGTTTGAGCTCGGGTGTGAACTGAGGCACTCATCTTTTTCGTTCAGGGTGAAATGGACATAGGAGCAACGCGTACGGAGGTGGTGCGGTTAAGCCATGTGACTTAACGAACAACTGAAAAGCGCAACAGGCTACACGCTTTGCGGTTGGTATCACAGTACCCATGGAAACAGCACCCTTGGTTCTGCAGCATGCAGATTACTCCCAAAATTTGGTCACTTATAATCTACCTGCATTGAAAAACATCGCACTGGAGATGGAACAAGTCTCCGCCTCACCTACCATTTGGTTACGAATGAACGGTTCGAGAGAAAAAGCAGGGCAAACACGACTGATGCTGCTTGGAAGTAAACAAATCTGTGCAACTCTCGTCCCTCGTCCCTCCCCCTTTCACAGAAAAACTCCTCGATAACGGTCTTCTTCCCGTTTTGAATTTAAAAAATCTGGGACCCACCATAAATCGCACCCTCAGCTGGGAATTACACTTACCTGCAGCTTATAGACCCTGCTTCGAAACTCTACGTGATCCACCGCATCTAAGGAACTTTCAGCCAACCAGTCATCTCCACCCTGATTAAGGCCCTGAAACTTTCGCGAATCCGATGCTGCATCTCAGAACATGACAATGGTACACATAATAACGTTTAATGCATTCAGATAATTTTCATTTAACACGGTCATTTTCGGCCGCCAAAAATCCCACAATGTGTGGGTTCTGCTTTGGAAGCAGGGCTGGATCAGCGCCGGGGACCCGGCTCGGTGCGACACTTTGTACCTGACACGCGGGGTCTGACGCTCCTGCGAGCCGGGAACATGGCCTGCGGGCTCCAACGCGTATCTGAGGTCCGTGGACAGTACCGTCCGACAATCCGACGGTCACACACAAGACAATCCGACACACAGGACAGTCCGACACACAAGACAGTACTGTAATCTGTGCGTGCCCAGGTTCCGACAGGGGTGGGTCGTCAGTGCTAAGATACCCTCCCGCCGCGATTGTATAACTATCGCTGAGACACGCATCCAAAATTATCGCCATGGGAGAGCCAAAGCTCATATCCGAAATCCTGCGAATTTGGGCCGAGCTGCTGCCAAGTTTCCCAGTATTTAGTATGAACGTCGTGACCCATAGGGAGCTGGATATGCCCCTTTGCCCCCCCCCCCCCCCTTGGCTACATTACTGTCACCGCCTGACCTGCCGCGGCTGTTGATCGTCTAGCTCCTTCCCTTCGACCTGTGCTTGCGTGTGTGCATGCAATGTGGTCAACACTGACTGGCGTTTTGTTTTACATAACAGAAATGGGGTTGTAATAGTCAAGAGTGAGTTGTTCAACACGAATCGTTGTTTTACACGCCTGAGCCCGAGTCTGAGCCTGAAACATCTATCAACTTGGATAGAGACGGTGTCTGGAAAGCATACTTTCTTTATGCACGAATATTCACGTAG